ACGCAGAGGCTCTCGCAGGAGTGCGTGCCAGCGGCCGGTGGCCCGGCTGGAACGGCCCTGGCTGCGAGACAAGGCAGCGCTTAAAGCGGCCGCTGCTGCTGCCACCACCCCTCCTTCGCCCGTAACACCCCGCCAGGCGAAGGAGGGGAGGGGGCAGCGGCATCGGGGGCGGTGGGTCAGTTTGCATCGCGGGAGCAGCCAAGCGCCCGGGTCTGCAGACCTGGGCGCTTGGCGGCTCCCGCAATGCAAAGTGCCCTGCCGCCCGCCATTCCGGGCGAAGGAGGGGTGGTGGCGGCGGCACGGCTGCTTTAAGCGCTGCCTTGTCTCGCAGCCAGGGCCGTTCCAGCCGGGCCACCGGCCGCTGGCACGCACTCCTGCGAGAGCCTCTGCGTAGCACCGGGAGGCCGCGGAGAAGCTTCACTCCACTTCTCACCCAGCCTTCCCCTAGAGGCGATCCGGGACTTCCAGCGGCGGAGCGTGGAGAAGCAGGCTGGGGCGGCGGGCGGGCGGGTGGGCGGCGGCATCGGGGGCGGTGGGGCAGTTTGCATCGCGGGAGCTGCCAAGCGCCTTTGCTGCAGACCCGGGCGCTTGGCTGCTCCCGCGATGCAAATTCCCCCCCCCGCCAAGGCCGACCGCTGCCCTGCTTCACAAAAGGATGCCCAGCTGAGCCTCACCAGGTATAAACCTCACCGCACGTCACTGATGCTAAAGGTTACCCAACTAAGTATTAACTGATGTGATAATCTTTGCATATCTCATTTTTTCCCCCTATGTGTTTCATTTTTCTTCTTTACAACTGCTATTCTAATAACAAATCCTCCATAAAAGTTATTGCATTACATTATCGATTAAATTATCTTTCCATTGATATTTAATTTTATGGTACTAATTAGTCCAAAAAAGTGGTGTTAGCCATCAAACCTCAAAAATAGTAGCCTTTCCCAAAAGGTTTCCACAATTTTGGCCACTACTGAAAGCTATGCAGTGAAACCTTTAATACTAGTCTTTGGGCCTGTGCTGTCTCAACAGTATATAGCTAACGTAGGAATTAAGTGCTGTCTCCTTTAAGAAACTACCTTATGGGAAATGTAGGGAGAACTGCCTTGTGGGAAATGTAATTCCATAAAATGTGACCACATCTGATTCCCTGATTGGGCAGCGGGGTACTCTGCCCGGGAAAAGTGATTTATTATTGGCCACTCGCTGAATCGCCTTTTGTTCTACCAGAAGAGCAGCTTTGCGTCAGCAGCCTGGGTTAGAGGAAATTAATGTCTTTTTACACTACCTGATGGGACAGATCATGGAAAGTCAGAAGAATCTTAACACTGAACTGTAAGTTTTGCTATTAAGGATGCCTGATAATAAACTTGATCTAAAAAGAGATTCCTACGTGTGGAGTTAACTGCATGCCCTGAGCCATCTGGATCGCTGGGGCAGAACAGGGCCTGTCATTTGTTATGATCCATTCTCCCCTCTGGATACATGATGTTCTTCTCATCTTGTTCCCAGAACAAGTTCTAAGTCATCTTAAAAATAAATGTAGATATTTTCCCCTGAAGTTGAAAACTCTCATCACAGCTTCATGATATATAAAATCCATAATAGCCTATCTCCTATTATCTGGAAAGTGCATAGAGATTATATCAGAGCCGAGGCAAGAGGAACAAGCAGTGAAATGTACATCATATTTGTCATGCTGCAAATGTGCTATTTCATCAGATGTCAGCACAAGTAGCAAGGGTGGGACTTGTGTCATAAAGTCATTGCTGCCTTTTGTGGACATTTGCTAGTTGGGTATGTTCTGGATGGACTGGGTATATATACCCTCTCCCCTCAAATCACTATTCAGCCTCCATTACACTTTTTCTGTTTTGTAGTTTGCCTTCTCCATCTACATTTTGATTTCTGAATTATAACTCTTCTTCCCTATTCATCTTCTCCAGATTTTCAACAAAGTAGGGGAGAAAAAAGCAGACCTCCCTTATTTTATTGGAGCCAGAAGAGCATCAGTACAATTCCATATTGTCAGAAAAAGTGTCAGTGGGGATGTTTCTCTTAGATGCAGGTGACCTCACAATAACAAGGGTTGAAAGGGACTTCTATCTTGTGTTTGCCAATTTTCTGTATTTATTAGTTTCAGTTACTGCCTGATGCCTTTTATGAAATAAGGGAGGTGATTGTCCAGCAGCTAATCAGTTTCAGCTCTGCTCTTCGTTGCCCAATCACAGCAGGCTCTGACTGCTTCCTCCTTGGCCCTAAGTGGTGACGGCCAAGATTCTAAGAAGAGACAGCAACTCTGGGTGGATTACAAGTTATAATTTACAACTAATGCTTATAGCAACTCCATGTTCACACATTAAGACAGTGCATCCAGATAAAAAAGGTTAAAGTACGGTATATGCTAAAGAGTGTATGCTACCAAGTTAAGTCAGTAAAAATTACAAGTCAGCTAAGTGGTTCATTAATCCCACTTTGGTTACTCAAGGAACTAAGCAGGTTTTGACCTGGTAGAAATTGGATGGGAGACCAACAGGCAATCTCTATACCTATAAATTAGACATATAATCTTTGTGCTTTTCTAACGATACTTGCACTAATTAAAGTTTATAAAAACCTGCTTTTTCATTTCAGTTTTCCCTCTAAAAAGTATATGAGCTTTAGCGCAGTCTAAGCTAGTGAATCAAATTAAATATTATTTGTAAAGGTGACAGAAAAAAAACTGCCATTATGATAATAATCCTTACCAATTTATATATGTATGATAGTTAAAACATGTCTAATGCAACCAGGATTTAGTTAGGTGATTGTGTATCCTGGACTTCTTGGTCTTAACATTTTCACAGGGAAAACTGTTAATCTACAATATCAAGGACCAAGTCTTATAATTTCTTAGAAATTATAATTTGTTATGGTATAAATTTTTGTGGAGTGAAATTCTTTGCATCTGATGACTTTAGTCTGTGAAATGTTTTTTCTACAACAAACTTCATTTAGTTTTTAAGGTGTTTGACTCTTAATTGCATAAGGCTAACAGAGCTATATCCATATTAATATATTTGTGCACAATGAATATACATCAAATCAGAGATTTGTCCATTTTTGGCTTTTTCCGGATGTGCTACCAATTGGCCTCAAACTTGAGGATGACCTTGTATTGAAGCTTAATTTTCAGTTTAAAGTGAAAATTACCTGTTGTACCACATAGCTAATATAGAAATTAAACACATATTTATATCATGTTTCGGGTGTTTATTTTCATTGTATACTCTTATTTAACAGGATCTAAAAAATCTGTTGCTATGAAAAACCTGAAAAAGATATGTATGAACACTGAGGCACAATTAATAAAAATGATGCATTTTTTTTTAGAGTTAACACAATACCCTGAATAAACCATGGCACATTTGCTTGTCATTTTCAGTAGAAATATACCTTGGCTACTTTCCCCTCTAAAGACCTAAAATATCATTAAAACAATTTGTTATTCATTCATTTGTTATATTCTTGGAAAAATAAGAACATGAAATTCCCAATAAATTTGTAATACAGTTATTGTACAGTAGCTACAATAGTATTTCTTTAATTTCTTTTAAAAACTTTCCATCCAAAAGGCCATAAAACCAATTCATGGGCAATCATGTTAAATCATTCATGTAACTATGTATGCATGTTTTCCTTTGAATCCACCTATCCAAGGACAGGAGTAAGCAACCTGTATCTGTCAAGATGCTTTTGAACAGCAACCTTCATTGGCTGTCTCATTGGCTGGTGCTTCTGGATGTTGCTTGAAGATGTTGTATAAGAATATTTGGAGAACCATAGGCTACCTGCCCAATAGGAGCCTTGCCTGAGTTTACACATTCCCCTCTATGGGTAGACTTCCCATATCATAAAGCATTTCATCTTTTTACTAAAGATCTAAAATTTTATTCTTGGAATCACCAAGTAGGACTTGGGGGGAAAATTGTCTAAAATACTGGTGAGCCACTACTGGTCAAGGTCAATAATATGGGCTGGATGGCTCACTATGAACTGGTTATGTTCCTGTACAACAGTTTACATACTGTACAAAATATATATTTCCATTTAGTTGGTCATTACCTGAAGCAGAATGTTGCATAATACATGGAACTAATTATTCAGATAACCATTTATATGATTTCAGGCAGACAATTCCAGGTTCACATCTTGCCCTTTCTAAAAGGATCATGCAATAGAAAAACATGGTACCAGAGGCCTTAGTAGGTAATATTGCCTAGCAGTTGTCAGAAATAAATACTTTTTTTCCTATCAAGAGCTGCAGAGGCAACCTCTGGGCAACTTCAAGGAACTGGTGACATGAGATACTGTACGCTCTCCCTAGCCTCCAATCCCTTTTTACTCCTGATACTTTTTTTCTCTCTCAAGAGGCAATCTGGACGAATTGACTGGAAGTTGGCACCATAGTCTGAATTGATTTCTTGCTGTGCATGATTGTTAAGGCAACAGGTCATCTAGAAGTTAGTTAAATAAACAAATTGTCTGATCTGTCAGTGGACAAAGTTCACAGCTCCATATTGGAACTCAATAAACTATAGATGCCCCCCTCCCCAATAAATAGCAACGGTAGATAATTTCTTCATGAGTGAACAAAAAAAGGTGGTTGGGGTTATTGTGTCTACTGTAGGTAAGATCACTATCACTTTTCTAGCTACTCTGAACTAAAAATGCTGCTTTCCTTTTAAGTCATCAACTATTACTTCTTTGGGTCCATCTGCCTTTTTGCAGTTTTCCACCATAGCCAATATCTTTTTCAGTCGTCGATCCAGTGCTTCCAGATGAGGCTCTGATAAGACTGGAGACAGGGGATCTGAAGCTAATGATTCACGCATGACATCACTCAAGCGAAAAGGCTCAGTAGCAAGCAGTTGCAGCCGCAGGAAGGTTGACTTTTTAATACTGGGAGACAGTAACAACAAGGAAAAGAGAACATATACATGAGAGAGAAAATACAGTATTTACTATTTCTATCAATGCAATTGAATTAAAATAAACCCATATGGACTTGAAATACCAGTATGAATCAAGACAGTCATAGAAGTCTTAGAACTGTCAAAGTGAGAAATGCTCATAACTATTATGGAATCCAGTAAAGTACAGTAATTTCCAAACTGATTGCTAAGCTTGAAAATAATAATAATATGCTATGGGCATTTGGGGAAAATCCATTTCTTATTATGAGTCAACTGAATCAATCTTAATTTGGTGCTGTTTACAAAAAGTTCCCTGATTCAGATGACAAACAAATGCTTCTTCCTATAGATTGAGAGTGGAAGTAGTTTGGCAGGAATTGTTCTACCCAGAGCATGCGCATTTTAATAGATTTCTGCCAGAAACATGATTACATTCTCCTTTGCATTTTTGAATTGCCCTACGTCCAAATGTGTCAATAGGAAACAGCCACCAATCTCAGACAATTCATACTTCAAAATTGGAAAAGGAGCTGGTTCATGGAACTACAGAACTGGAGGAAAGAAAAACTTGACCTTCAAAATTATCCTACAGACAGTCACATTAAACCACCTTGCCCAATTTGAAGCTCTTTAGATATATTAAACTTCAGCTTTAACAAGAGAATTTGAATCCTATCCTATATCCCATATTTCACAAATGTCGTATCAGCCATACCATAGAGTATTCCAGCCTCAGATAACTTTCTTCTTTACCTTATGTTTTGAGATGAGTTAGATTTAATATTTTCTAAATACGATGGCCATGTTGGGTGAAAATTATGGAAGCCCAATATATCTTGAGGACATTCTCTTTGAGAAAGGCTGAATTAAGTCATCAGGGCCATTGTATGATAATGAATTGGGTAAATGTAATTAATGGGCATGCCTTTTGCTATGTAGATAGTCAAGAAGCATCCAAGTCATTGGATATGAGATGGGCAGCAAATAAATCTCATAATTAAATAAAGAAGTTTGAGCACTCAGCAATATTGGACTAGTGGTGAGAAACAGTTCAACAGAAATCACTCTCACTCCCACATACAATCGCCTACTCTCCTGAACAAACTAAACAATGGAGGATTTGGATGTGTGATGTCCTCATACTAAAAACACAGAACTTTTGAGAGAGCACCTTGACAATCTCTTTTACGAGCAACATTAGTTTTTCATTGCAAAAATCTGGAACATTCTTAAAACATCCTAAATTATATTACCCCAGCAAATGCAAATTTTGAGAGGTAAAAAGTTATCCTTACATGCAGCATTGACGAAGAGGAGTCAGAATAGACATTTCATCATGAGAATGTCTCCCAAACCTGAAGAATAAAAATAGGAGATTAGGGCATAATTTGGGGGAGAAGTAATGCTATCCATTACAAACAATTTCCCTGTTCTTCAGAGAAAGAACTGGCATAAAGCTACATTCTGTCCTCTAATTTTATCCCCACAACAATCCTGAGGTATGTTGGACTAAAACAGTGAATAATCCTGTTACTTGAGACCTTGGATCTGGATCTCCCAGTCTAGTCCAACAGACTAATCAGTACATGACATGGGTTCATCTCAAGGGGTTACTGTACACAATTCAAATCCTGCCACTGAAATAGAATGTGAAAATTAGACACAGCTGCATAATGTAGTTATTTTATTCTGTTACTGAGAAGAAAGGAATTATCCAAAGGCAAAACATGGTACAGTTGGTAGGAATTCTTCTAATTATACTGCTTGTAGTGTTACATTTTATATAATGTCATTCTATTGTTAAATTTTGGAATAATATTATTGCTGTAGTCTTAAAGTAAATTATAATTCTCCTTATCATGCATAAATAGTGCCAGTAGATAAGTACTCCTTGGCATTCAAATAATACTTGCCAAGGGCTGGGACTGCAGAGACTAGTTCACTGGATTCTAGCACAAAACTACTTTGCAACTAATTCTTCCTTGTTTGAAATTCTTAACTTGTAAACTCTTGCTTTCAAAGTCTATCCCATAATGGGGGTAGTTGTTTATCTTGAATTAGTGCAGAATAGTTGTTGGTTTTTTTAAAAAAACAAAAACCTGGGACTTTCCAAAATGTGTTGGGGCTACAGTTCCCAGATTTTTTAGCCAGGCGCATCCCACATACATCTGAAGAATGTACTGAGATATCCTCTGATGTTAGCCCTGCTTATACTCCCCCTCATTATAGTCAAAATTCAAAAGCTTTCCAAAATCTCTTGCCCATCCTTAGGAAGATAGCAGCAGTTTCTCACCCTCTTCCATTGTCCAGGTGAAGATAAAAAGTGTGGTTACCAAACTTTTCAAATGTCTCATAATGGTGCCTATCCATATTTCCTGCAGATCAAGAGAAAGCAGTGGAAGAAAATGTGTCACCAAAATTTGCCCATATCAGAGCTATAAGACCAAAAGTATACAGTACATTTATACCAACTGTCACTCAGTTCTGCTTCTGACATGACTCTGTTCAGACAGAGAATTGTCATGAGAGTGACCCAACTCTTAGGTCACCATTATAATATATAATATTGGGATATAAACATATATTACTCTTCTGCCACTGTCAGAAGTGTAAGTGTCTGAGTCTGCATTTTAAAAAGAGAGTGATACAATATGCTAAAATCACGGATGAGTTATATTACTTACTCTGGATTTTCAAAGCCAAAGGTCATGTAGTATTTAACTTGATTTAACATTCAACAAGGCAGATAATCAGTGTTTGAAAGATTATATTATCTTTTAAGATGCTATGTTTGTGCTTCTGCTGCCCACTAATCAAATAGGTTACTCTGACTGGTCAGTTAAACATTATAATAACAACACATAATAAGCAGCTGTATTTTTGGAGCATAAATCAGAATAGATGAGATGGCCAATCCTCTAAATACTTACTGTATATGTCTATTGTTGAAATATAGGATATGAATATGAAAAAAATGCAATGCTTCCACTAGAGGGCATAGTGACACATATTTGCCATTATAAACTATAAAATACACCATTGTATGTTGAATAGTAATTTAAATAAAGAAGCTTTTAGCAAGCCACATTTTTTTTCTGAATTTTCTTACATGTATCCTGAAAACACTAAGGAAAAGATTAAAGTTTTGTCTCTGTGTAAGTCTGATAGGTGAAACTTTGTTTGCATATTAACCTGAAACTGGGAAAAGGAGAAAAAATAAGTTACAGTTTTTACTATGTAAAATGGACAGCTTATGAAACCTGCGGAGCCACTGACGGTTGGACAGAAATGGGCTAAATCGGCCAACAATAGGCCTTGGTAAATGGTGAACATAAGGCCTTCAGCAAACTTTCTGAAAGTATTCAGGGTCCTGAAATTTAGTTAAGATGCAGGCCTCTACATTCCTTATTGTGACAGGTTTTAACTGGCATCAGTTTGGTTCTTCTGAAGTGGGATAACCAGCTGAGAAAAAGAATGTCCCTTCTGGAATAGTAAGGCAATGCTAAAAAAATAACAGGCCAGAACAAGCGACTCTGAGAAATGTTACAGAAGGAGCGATTGTTTTCTTATGAATTTCAGCACAATGTATTGCCAGTGAAAGACTATTTTGGAGAAGCTGGTGGGCAGCCAGTTTTACACAGACAGAGATCCTTTGTTTTGCAAGATGCAATGGGCCTTATGGTTAGGAAACTCAAGCTCCACAGTCTCATTCCTACAAGCTGAGTTGAAACATCTGCTGTGGAAATGCCAAACAGAGTCTGAATCAGGGGCATAATCTGGGGCCTTCTGCCTCTGTCTTCCGCTCCCACTGATTCAGGTCCCTTGTCGTCCCCAATATAAATACATTAACAAACTTACCCATGAGAAAATCAAGCATGGTCATGTCAATGAGATTCAGAAGCCGGGCTGTGTTGTTATAGGGCGGTGTCTTTCGAATCTTAGCACAGTAATTTTCATTCAGCTCCCACCTGGGAAAAGTCAGCCATTGTGAAATATTATCTGCTAAATTTGTGACCTAAAGTCTTTGTTCAAAAAGTCCTCAAATTTTATTTTTATTTTGCTTTGGACAGGCTTCCAATGGTTAATCATTAGATTCATTTTTAGTCTTCTGTTTATCCAGTTTTCTCTCCCTCTCCCAACTACCACTGTTGTATACTTTTGAGTGGCATACGAGAATATTTACCAACATAAAATATCCATAGTGTGTTTTCAAAGATGATTTAGTTATTCTTCATTTTAATTTTATTTTGTCTTTCTGTTTTAAACTGCTGAGGTGTATTGCTAAACGGTAGTACATGCAGTCTTAATAGCAACAATAAATAAATCTTATATTGGAAAAAAGAAGCAGCTTTGGTCGAACTCCTTCCTCCTTCAGGTCCGCTTATGCATTTTGTCATTTTGCAAATGCATGTTGTATGGCTACAGAGATTCTTTTGAACTTGTTTGCATGATACTGCAGTTATTTAAGCAAAGGCCAAGATACTTTGCTGTGTGAGCTGAGCTACAAATGACTTCTCTCTTTTTCCACTCGTGTAGATGCATACTAAGTGATGACACTCAAACCAGGAAAATCTCTGAAGCATCTTTTCCTCTTCCTGCCAGTAAAATTGCCATGAGAATAAGTGCACAATGGAATTCTGCTCCTTTTCCGAAGCAACGAAAATGGGCTGGCACTTCTCATTGCTGATAGGGTGAACCTTTATCCTGAGACCTTAAGAAAAGCCACAGAAATAGAGAAAGTGGCAATGCTTGCCCTGAAATATGATGCTTTTGTGACCTGAGCCTTTCCCACAGGTATGAAGCAGTATGTCTCAACCGCTTAAAATAAGAGGTTCATTTCCTCTTCTTCATTTCCAGGAGATCGTACCAGAGAGGTAACAGATCAGCATTTATTTATACAATGGTGAATGGGGAAATATATCTTTCTGTTGATATCTATGTTCTGTCATGGTTATAAGTTTACATTTTTTATTTATTTTAGATTTCTGAATCTTTTTTGATCTTGTATCTGAAGCTCGAGATATTTATATATCTATATTCATATATAGAAATGACATAAAAAACACTTATTTCCATTAGTTACTTGAGACCCATGCTTTAATATTTTTTAAACAGAATCAGCTTCTTCAAGTCACTAGTGATGAAGGAGCCACTGAATACTTTGAGGGTGTGGTGTTCTTTGTCCTCTTACTGGACTTTTCTTGGGCTCACATGAGAGGTGGTATTCACCCAGTTCTTACAGGTTCTGGAGAACCAGTAGTGGAAATTGTGAGTAGTTCAGAGAACCGGCAAATAGGCTGGCCCCGCCCCTGCTGCTTCCCAGCCTCCCAGCTGATCTTCTTTTGTTGTCCTAAACAGGAGAACAGAGCTGGAAAGCAGCTTAGTAGGATGGGGAGGGAATGCGGATTTTGCCGTAACCTTCCCCTGCCATGCCCAGGAAGCCATGCCCAGGAAGCCACACCCTACCATTGGCTCACGTGAGCATAAAAGCAAGAGGAATTTTAAAAAGTAAAATGGGTGCAAAAAAAAAAGTGGGGGGCGGCAAGATGGCCAAATTGGTGGGCTGAGGGATATATTTTCATGGTTTGTACAGATTCCCTTTAGACCAAGTGCCTCATTTTTTCCTTTCTTTGCTTGCCTGTTTCTCCAACCATCTCATTTGTCTCCACTCTATCTAGAATGTTATTTTCGCCTTTTAAATCCTCTTTTTAGTAGTAGTGGCTTTTCTTTTCTCCTTTTGAATACTCACTCAGCTTTCTTGATCTTGGAATAGGAACGTCTCCAGGGATTCCGCCAAGACTGGCGTCCAGCTATTATTTTGTCAGGCAACAAGGCTGCCATGGATCCCTCAAGCTGGTCAGGTTTGCCACACAAAGCATGTTCAGTGGAGCAATAGTAGGAGCACTCACCAAAGAAACAGATGTTGCCAGCTGGTTGATCCAGGCAAAATGGAGGGAAGCAAAGGTTAGGGAAGTGAAACACAGACACATTTTTTTTTCTGTGATAGATTGTGCCACCACCTGCCTTACAGATTCGAAGGGAGAAGGGAATAGTTTACATTCCTGTCAGTGGTGAAGCTGGCCAGTAATTATAGGAGCCACACTAAATCTAGAGAGCAGTACTGGGAAAGATTTACACAATTACCCCCATAAATTCAAAGACACAATTATTCATTGTTTCCAAAGTTGAGGGGAGGTGTCAAGAATGGGGCAGGGAGATACTCACCTGGGGAGATGAAAAACGTTTTAAACAGTTTCTTATCTGTGGTAATGTCACGAATGTCCTCGCTTATGTTCACCAAGCGTCCAGAAACTGGGGGAATTCTTCTAAAGTCCAAGATCCTGCATGGAAAAGGCAAATGCAGGAGAAAATAACAGATGGTTAGCCTATACACTATTAACATCATGGTTCCACCACAAAAGCGCGTAGGACAAAATCGCACTCGACAAAAGCGCGCTGTGACGTCATCACAGCGCGACGAAAAAGTTCGAAAAATGTAAAAATAAAGCGAAAACCTTACCCTAAGCCCCCCAAACCTAACCCTAAACCTAACCCTAAACCTAACTCTTAACCTAACCCTAACCCTAAACCTAACCCTAAACCTAACCGTTAAAGTAACGAAAAACCTAACGCTAACACTTAACCTAACCCTAACGCTAACGCTAACGCTCTAAAGCTAACCCTAACCCTTAACCTAACCCTAACCCTAAACCTAACCCTTACCTTTATGTGAATCGGCTTGCTTTAATTTAATTTTTATTAATTTTTATTTGAATTTTTCGATCTTTTTCGTCGCGCTGTGATGACGTCAAAGGCGCGATTTTGTCGATCGCGCTTTTGCCGTCCGCGCTTTTGACGGGTCACGAACATGATAGAGGCTACAATCAAACAATATCAAATTAACTTTTTCTAATAGTTGTATTTGCCATCACATTATGATGTGGCCCCCAAGCCTTGACCTGAGGTTTGCCTTGTAGCTTAGCAAACTGCTCTCAACTAGGTCCATGGAAATATATCTTGTATCATCTCCTGCCATATCCTTTATGGAACTCTTGTTGAAGGATTCCTTGATGGATTGCTTTTCACCTTAGATAATTTGGATTATAACAGCAATGCTCTGAGTGAATTAGAAGCCTCACCTAAATTTCTCAGGATGTTCCCTTTATTTTGAAAATTAAATGGGACTTCCTAACTGCTTAGAGAGACCCAGGGCAAAGGTGCAGTAAATCCTGCTAGAAATTGGATTGTACCCTTCAAGGATAGTTTTTACTGAGGCCAATCTGAACTCAGTGATGCATAAGGCCTCATGTAAACATGAAACACTTAGTGTAACCTTGGACACACCAAGCAGAGCTAGAGTTTCAGAATGGCTACCAATAACTTTGTCATGGTCTCAAGTTACACACTAGATCAAATGGTGAATCTGTGGCCATCCAGAAATTTTAGGATTCCTGCTTCCTTTAAGTAAACATTGTAATCCTGTAATTAAGGATATTCAGATTTATATTCCCACAAAATCTAAAAAGTTATAGATTACCCAATCCTGTTCTATAGCTTGTTGTATGCCTGGTTCTCATATCAGCCAAAATCACTATTTTAATTGATTATGTGCCATCAAGTCATTTTAAATTCCTTTCAATCACATAAATAGATTTTCTCCATGATGATTTGTCCTAATCTTGTCTTTCAAGTTTTCCAACATTGCAGCCATTGCTACTGTGACTGAATCAACCACCTTGCTGCTATCACCTTCTTTTTCTCTTTCCTTTCACTTTCCCCAGAATTAGACCCTTCTCCAGATTTTCACATAATATGTCTGAAGTAAGATAATTTGATCATTTGAGTCTTGAGTGAGAACTCTTGCTTGAATTGTTCAGTAACCCATTGGTGTCCTTGATTTCTTTTTCAGGTGTCTTCTCAAACACTGTTATAAAGTATCAGGCTGGTTATATTGTTATTTTTATTACAATGTGTATCTCACCATTCTTTTTACTCCCATTCAGGGCAGAAAGTTGTCTTCTGCTAGCTCAGTCTTGCCTACTCTAATAACAACAGTTTGAAAGAGTTCCTTTCCTGTACTACTGGGATTATTCTGCAAAAGAAAGTGCCAAAACCTGAATTTGTTTACAGGCAAAGAGTATACCATTGCGCCATGAGCCAAGGTGGCGCAGTGGTTAAATGCAGCACTGCAGGCTACTGCTAGATCAGCAGGTCAGCGGTTCAAATCTCACCGGCTCAGGGTTGACTCAGCCTTCCATCCTTCCGAGGTGGTTCGTAAAACAATTACCATAGTTTAAAC